CTGCTAAGAAGAAAAAAGAGAGTAAAGATGAACGGGCTGCGAGTGAAACTAAAATGAAAATAAAGATTTAATTATTCTAAATTTTGTCTAAAAGGAAAAAGAATTGGCTGTATGCTTATTCTTTTCCCTTATAACAACACTATATAGGTCTCAGAACTCCCAATGCAGCTTGAGGTAGAAAAATTAAGAGAGTTAAAACACATTCAATCCATCTGCAACATAAAACCGACTAAACCAGAAACTATGGCATGCATGTTTGCAGCGTATTTTTGAGCAACAACTTCAACAGACATTTAAAAGTTCATTTTTGGTTCTTTAGATGAAAGGGGATCTAAGCATCAACAGTGATCTTGGTATCAAGCTGAGAGAATTCTTGGAAGAACGCCTTGAAATGTTCATATGAGTGCTTCACATCATCAACTGCACACATTTCTCGTATGCTATGCATCGATAACTGGGGAGCTCCTACATCTACAGTACGGATTCCCACGCCACTTGCCAGGATAGGACCGATGGTTGAACCACATGGCATATCGTTACGCACCACAAAATCCTGCATGCATAGAATTTTCTGAACAATCAGTTCATCTATTCAACCATTTCTAACAAAAGCATTTCCTTTCAGAACCATTTAAATAGGACATGATGCCAGAACATTTTCCTTAGAAAACCAAAAGTAGGAATGACATTGGTATACTTCACCCCGACTCGCCCAAACCGAAGTGACTTCCCAATCTCACACCAACCCATTAAATCCAGAAGATCAAAAACTCTCGAAGAAGTTACAACACATTAGATAATGTTTTATTTCTCACTGAATCCTGTACATCAAATAATTCATAGCAACTAAGTTTAAGGATGGAACTGACCTGAACGGGAAGGTTATGATTCACGGCTATTTCCCTAAATATGAATGAAGTGACTGCATTGGTTGCATACCGTTGGTTTGCGTTATGTTTGATAACGAGGCCCCCATGCAACTTAGGCTGATGGTTCTCCTCGTGTTTGTCCTGTATATAACACCATATGACTGAAATGCAACAAAATAAAATTATCTGCAAACGCGGGTTAAGATTTGTCTGCAACAACATACCGTATAATTTGGGTGAAGGGCATGTGCCATGTCAGCAGAAACAAGGAAACTTCTCTGGATTGCTTTTGTTAGCATCTGAAGAGGAAAAATGCAACAAAAAAGTCAACAAGATGATTTTAAAGAAAGAATGATTATGGAAAGTTTGTAGACAAATAGAAGGTGGCTATGCTAATCGCAGAAAACAATTGGAAAGTGACGTACAACATAGAAATTGGATCTTTACAAAATACAATCATGGTCATTACTGGTAAAAAGAAAAAAAAGGGTAATATGGAATGTAGTTGCTTCCGATTTTCAATTTTCTATTTTTTTAAAGAGAAAATTATCAGGATGTAGGGTTTATAGGTAATGAAGAAAATTTAGACTAAAAACAGTGAACAATACAGATTGCAAGTTGTTCCAGTTCATACGAAAAAAAATTCACTTTATCTTCACCTACAAGTAGTCAGACAAGCTAACTAAATAGAAGTGTACTTAGAAAATAGAGGTGAAGAAGCAGTAGATACCTTAGAATCCGAATCAAAGGAATTCGTTATTCGTGATAGAGCATCTAGCATAGCAGGAGATCCAGCTCCTTGTGCTGAATTAGATCCAACCTCCTCATGATCAAACAATGCAACCATTCTAACACCACTCTCATTTTCAAGGTCACTCTCGGAGTACGTAGCATCAATCAATGCCTGGAATGAAATTACATAAGATGAAGTGATGAAGCAAACAATGTGCATACCATTATTAGGTTCAACGTTACATGATTTCAAATATTCCCCCATTTGGAAAGAATAACACATAAACTACATCACATATAAAGTTGAGAAAATTCAAACGTAAACCTATAATTTTGCTAACTGGGAAAATAATTAAAAAAAATCCATTAATACCTTCAGAGAACAAAAGGACATACAAAGATTGTCAAGCCTTCCAGAAAAGATAAATTCCTTTGCAGCACCGGCTACTATACTCGGTTGAGTATCACATGTTTGCAACTCAAAATCGCATATTTGATCTGGTTGACAGCCGAGCTTATCTGCAATAATCTAAATACAAGAAAAGCAATGAATTTATTTATTTATTTTCTGAAAAAGCATTCTATAACATATTTTACTACACTTGATAAAGCCCGAGTTTGAAAACTATCAAACCTGCAGCAGAAGTGCATGATGGCTTGATTTGTTCATTGTCTTGTCAGTTGGACCATTTACGGAAACCGCTTTATTGAGTTCCGCCTGTGAAAAGCAGTTCAACAGATTTAAAACAGAAACAAAGAAAAACAAACATTAATCCTGTGGAAAAAAGAAAACATACAGAAAAATTGATGCTCTTTTCAGTCCCTCCTTTTTCAACAAATAAGCATGTTCTATAGTTGGAAAAAAAAACCATGAATAGTCCAAGCTGAAGAACCAGTTTGTTCAACTTGAACAATATGATTCATATTACCAATATCTCATTAAAAACTGGAACTACCAATTTGGTTTTGGTTTCTGAAACAATATGAATTAATTGTTAAATCGTGCAATACATTCATACAAAATTGTATAATATTAGTTTGCAATCATAAAGCGACATATAACTGGGAAGCGACTATCAGAACACCAATGCAGACAAAATCGATGTTTACCCATTTCACTGGAATAAAGATTATGGAGTGGTTAATGTTGCCACAAGTCCACAATAATATATGAACTAAGGATATGAAAATGTTAACTGACATAACTAGAATCTGAAAAAGAGCATGGATAAAATTGAACCTTAATTGATGTTGCCAGGACAGGTACAAGATGACTCTGTGTGTTGACCTTGAATCCATCATTAACACCCCTACTCACAAGACATACGATAAGAAAGTAAATTTCTGTGTCTACAATACTAACAGAAAAACAATAAGAAATCAAAACCCTTGAAGAGTGAAGTGAGTTACATCCAACAAAGCAGTTATCTAAGCCAATTACAAGCATAAAGCACCTTGTGAATTCATCTAGGAATCCCACCTGTCCAAGTGAATAGCCAGGGTAGGGATCCGCATTATAGGCTCTTCAATTCTAACTAGCCGGTGTGAATAAGAAACAGAACCACTTTTTTCCTCTCTTATCATCACCCTTCCCGCAACTGTCAAGTCGCGATCGAACCATGTATGCCACAAGCCACCTCCGTAAGTTTGCACACCAACCTCCAGGAAACCAGCTTTTTTTACCTGATCAATCCCACAGCCATTTTTTTCTTTTTTCAATCATAAATTATTGCCCGAACATTTTAGTTTAATGATAGAAAAAGTAATAACCTCGGAAACAGGCTTCAATTTTAGACAAGGGCTATCAGTATGTGCACCGACTATATGGAATCCATTGCCAGCAACATATCTAAACATACAACATATTAGTGGATAAACAACTAAACTTTAAATATTTTCATATTAGTAATTAACAACAATCAAATAGCATAAAAGTGTTATTATTCACAAATTAACTTCCAGAAACATTTTTTTACAATCAAACTAAACTACAAAAGTAAACAAATAAGTATATAAAGAAAATAAAAATCTTACTTTTTACCAATGGCAAAAGCAACAATGGTTGAATGATTCCTGGTGAAAAAGTATCTTTTCCCAGCCTCTAACTTCCAGTCTTCTCTCTCTAACACTTGTTCATACCCAATCTCTTGCAAACGTTTCTTTGCTTCATCTGCAATTAAAACAAAAACCCAACAAAATTATTCAGTAAAATCCAATAAGAAATGAATATACATGGATTATGATAGTAAATTACTTCGATTAAATGTGCTTGAATAAGTTAACTTCCACCAACAGAAAAACGAGAAGAAAGAGATTACCGACGGCGTGGAAGGCAGTGGGAGAAGCGTTTAAGAAGCCGATGAAATCAGACACAACGGAGCTCACTTCAGTTTGTGCCATGACTCTTCGTTCCTTGGATTAGATCTTAGACTTGGCTTAGGCCTTTGTTTAAAGTTACTTCCTATTTTTCAGCATTATCGTGTGTATAAAATACTCCACACGAAATGGGAACCTGCTTCTTTCTGGATTTCTTTGCTTTTAATTTCCAAATTCCTAGGAATCCAATATATGCTTTGGGCCCAAGATCCAAATTGATAAGTTCTAAAAAATAAATTATATTTCTGGAAAATAAATTTCAGAAATAATTTTATGTGTTTGGATTATGTTGTTTAAATTATTTTTCACTGTTTGATAAGTTTTTGTGAAAACATGTTTTTGATTTTTTTTGTAAAACTAGATTTTATTATTTAATTAAATAATTTTTAAGTTAATTGATTACTATAAAATTATATTTGATAAAATTTTAAATATAATATTATAATGTGTAAGCTTGATGAACAAACTAAAAAATAATTTTTAATAGAACTAAAAATAAATAGTAATTCATTATATTAAACAATAACATTATTTAACTATATGTCTCCAACATTTCATTTTATTTTCAACGCAAATGATCATACAGCCAGAGAATAGGAGAAATTCCGGAGCTAGGACTCAGACATTGGGCTTGCTTAATGCCACCACACATACTGTAAATCGCTCACACAGTTCTCCGACGCTTTGGTATCGTAAGTAATGTATTTAGAAAGAAACAACAGACAATTTACGAAGCCTGAACTCGAGGTAAGATAAAAGGTTGCAAATGTTATGATTCGATGCAATTTCCATGTTCATGGACTCAACTTAAGTTACTATAATAGAATGCAAATGCTACGATTCGATGCAATTTCCATGTTCATGGACTCAACTTAAGTTACTATAATAGAATGCAAATGCTACGATTCGATGCAATTTCCATGTTCATGGCCTTGACTTAAGATACAATAAAAGATAACAAAACGCTATGGTTCGAATGCTAAACTCAAAAGGAAGCGTGTCTGCATGAATCATCGATCCCAGATTCATTTTTGTGTTCTTGTTATCCTAAAGAGTTGCAGTTTAAAAATCTTTTAAGTAGTTTGATCAAACAAAGAACAACCTTAAACAAAAAAGAGAATTTTAAGTAGTAATTATCACAGTAACACTCTCCAACTCTCTTGCTTCATATTAAAATTATTTCTAAGGTGTTATAGATGTTGGTAAATATTAATTTTCATTTTTTCCCTTTTGTTGTTTAACCAAAATAGCTTGATCTAAAACCACATCGTAAACTTTCTCTTCTAAAGATCCGGCTATATTGGCCATTGCACTTGAAATAGCTGAAACCCCTTTGAAACACCTCTTCGGCTTCTTCCCACTCCTGGGTATCAAATTGAGCTTATTTTTGGAATATGCCATCATCAATTCTCTCACAAGTTTATGTGGACACCATTCCTTCGTGTGCATTTGTTGATTTCAAGCCACATCTTATAAAACACAAGAAATTGCAAGAAATTTTAAAACTTTGCAGAGCATGAATGTATGAGAAAAGAAAGAAACCTTGTCACAAAAAAAAAAAAAAAACAGAAAATCTACTCACCGTGAAATATGCCGATACTAATGTCACAAGCGAGATTGGAAAGACTCACAGCTCAAGATTGAAGAAAATGGAACAGTTTAGGGTTGAAGAAGATGGTAAAATGTTTTACCAAAAATGAGATGGTAAAACATTTGACCGAGAATAGTGAAGGCAAAAGTTTTGACTTGGAAAACAAAATACGTTGACCTCATATTTTACTCTTACCAAACACCGTAAAATAGGAAAACAAATTCCTGAAATTTCTTTTACCCGTATCAAACAGACCCTTAACTGCACAAGAGTTCCTCAAAATATGACCATTTTATAATTGGTCTCTAAATTTTAAAATATTTTATATCAGTCCCCATAGCAGCAGATCAGTGGCTCACATAGACGCTCTATGCCCTCAGATAGTTGCACCTTACCCTTTAAAGTAAGCTCGAGTGCGTCACTGCCTTGCTCAAGGGTGACACGATAGACTGGCGGGAGACAATCAAGTTGTCCATGGACCCAGAAAAGCCAACGTGAGAGCAATTCCTCACAGAGTTCAAACAAGAGTACATCGGGGAAACTGACATCGATGACTTGATGGAGCAGTTCTTACACTTGACTTAGGGGGATCGCTCAACAATGGAGTATAAGCTAGAGTTTCTCAGACTTAGAAAGTATGCCATAGATTCAGAGAGGGCCTTTGCTTCTACATTTTATCACATTTTACGACCGATCCTCCTAGGGTCTTCGTTCAGCTGACCCACCAGGCGAAGGTAATCGAGAATGTTCTTGATAGATAGGCTAGGCAGTATAGCGCGGTTACATGACAAACTAGGAGAGCCTCTGAGCTAGCGAGGCCATCTCAGACTCGGGTCAAGAGGGCCCGAGATAGTCATGGGTCGTTGAGGCCCCTAACAGCCCATTCGAGGAGAGTCAGTCAGAGTTCATATTGGGGAGACAAATTTAAGTCTAGAAGAATGCCTTTGACCTTATCCTTTGGAGCTAATGCTAGTGAGCTGATCAGAGGGTTCACCAATCTCGTTTGTGCCCAGTGCGGTTGAATGAACCCAGTGACGTGTCAGCAGGGATCTAGGGGTTGTTATAGTTGCGGCTCCTTAGTTCACTTTGTCTGATACTGTCCAAGAGTTCAGGGAACAGTTTCTGCAGTAACTCAATGGTCGGTGCCATCAGTGTTGAGGGGCCGAGGACCAACTAGAGGGGTAGTAATATGTATGGGCAGTAGAGCTAAGGGACGACTAGATCAGTAGCTAATACAGAGCCGAGAGTGTCCTTCAGACAGTATGTAGTACAATCAATGGAGGTGTGCGATACGACAGATGTCATATCAGGAACCTTTACAGTCTTTTTCATTCCAATTACAACATTGACAGTCTCTGGTTACACCCACTCCTACATCTAATACAACGAAGTGCGAGAAATAGAAATCCCAGCAGAGGACCCAGAGGTAGGTGTTTGAGTATCAAGTCCCTTAGGTCTAGACGGGGATAAACTATTTTGAGGCTGCTCAATGGGAATTAAGGATCAGACCTTTCCAGTAGATTCAATGGAGTTACCCTTCAGATAGTTTGACATGATTTTAGAAATGGACTGGCTAACCGAACACGATGCAAGTTTGAGGTGCAAAGTCATATCGCTAAGCTCAAAACAACCGATACAACAAAGTTAGTTATGATCAGCGAAAAACCCATTCAGTTCATGATAGTTTTAGCCATAAAAGCCATGAGAATGAATGAATATGGTTATAAATACTTCTTAGTTCATGTGCTCGATACACGAATTTTAGTTTCGACACTCGAGAACATCCAAGAAGTGCGAGATTTTCCTATGTGTTCCCAAAAGAATTTTCGAGTTTGCCACCCGAGCGTGAATTGGAGTTTGGCATTGAGGTAATCTCGGGTTCATCTCCAGTGTCTATTTCTCCCTATCGCATGGCACCAATAGAACTAAAAGAATTAAAGGCTCAGATCTAGAAGTTACTAGAGAAGGGGTTCATCCGACTGAGCATCTCTCCTTGGGGAGCGTCAGTCTTGTTTGTTAAGAAGAAGGATGGGTCAACGAGGTTGTGCATCGACTTCACACAATTAAATAAGTTGACAATCAAGAACCATTATCCACTCCTTAATATAGATGACCTCTTCGATCAAATGAGAGGGGTGTGCATTTTCTAAAAGATCGATTTGCGATTAGACTACTGCCAACTGAAATTTAAGGATGCATATGAGGAGAATACAACTTTCAGGACAAGATACGATCATTATGAGTTCCTAGTAATGTCGTTTTGACACACCAACGCTTCGATGTCATTTATGGATTTAACGAACCAAGTTTTCCATCTATATTTAGATGAGTTTATGGTGGTGTTTATAAATGTCATCTTAGTGTACTCCCTATCAGAAGAGGGGCATGATTAATATCTTCATATCGTTCTTCAGACACTTAGAGATAGAAAATTGTATGCCAAGTTTGGGAAATGTGAATTTTTGCTATAAGAGGTTTTCTTTTTGGATCATATTGTTAGAGCATGCCCAAAGACCAATCATATGATGATTGTAATAATACATTTATTTATCGATTTTATTGAATAAATGCATTGTCGCTATTATTTTCAGTTATAACTGGAAGATAATAAAGTCCATATAATAACATCATTGTTATTATTATAAGATCCCTAGTCAAGTACTATTATGGGCATGGACAGTAATAATACGCTTAAGACTAACATGTTATTGATTGATGACAACGAGTTGTCATTGACATAGAGATGTCAGAATTGATACATGATTATATTGTTAGAGAACAATATATTAGATTGACCCTCCATGAGCATATGTCTTGGATTATTATGTGACAGTCATAACATTGCTCATGGTGATGACTATATGTATGATCCTCAGACTTGAGATCAATACTATCCCAACATATATTGTTGTATGTTTTGATGCAGTTAAACAAGCTCTGTAACTGGTTTCTCTATAAAGACTGTTATTAAATATATCTCAATATATGTAGTGGGTGTGTATGATTAAGATAGGATTTGTCATTCCTACATAGTAGGAAATATATCACATACCACTTGATTGAGCGAGACTAGAAACACATGGCCATGCTCGAATAAGTTGATATGAGATATCACAAATTATTCGTTAATTAAAGTCTACTTTAAATATCAAGAAACAATAGATGAGTTATACAAGTGTGACTATTCCAAGACTTGTGCCTATTCTAGATATAAAGGACAAAAGGATGTAATACATAAAAGAGTTAATCACGAAGGTGATATGTCGAATCATAATTTCTTGTAAATTATGTGACAATGATATATTTCTAGATGTCACTCATTGTATGTAATATTAGAAATGTTCTAATAATTACTACTAACCTTACAATAACCTATAGGGTCACACCCTAGGATTGAAATGAGCAAAGATGTACAATTTGTTGTATGTTACTAAAATATATCTAGAGTAAATATATGTATATTTGATATACAAATGATTTTAATTATCCCGAATATAGTAAGTAAACATTAAAAGAATGTAATTTTGATTACAACTCTTTTAATTGACATTTATCTCGGAATAATTAAATAAGATTTTAAATAAACATTAAAGATTTTAATTCAGATTATAAGTCTTTAATGTATATTTAATTTGAATTAATTAAATAAGTTTTTTTAATTCGAAATAACTTAAAATCCCTAATATGTTAGGGTAACTGATATATTTAAATGAGGTAAGGTCTAGAAGCCGTTTACTTTACCCGTTTACTTCAGCCGTTTACTTCAGCCGTTTTTCTCAAAATCGATTTTGGGAAAAGAAACTTTTGCTCTCAATCGGGTGAACTAAGTAGAGGCCGAGACGTGTTTTCGTGGAGGTTTACGATTCGAACCGTTCGTGATCCCCACTAGTCGCTGTTATCTTTGTTATTTTTTTTCACGGAACCCATTGTAAGTATTTGCATCATTTCCTCTCGATTTCGGTTTTACGTACTTGGATCGCTGGTGAGACTGTCGAGTTTTTGTTTCCACTGCACCATGGGTTGCGCCGACGATCCTAAAAGTGGTATCAGAGCCACTTGTACAATCCGAATTCAGGTTAAATTATTGGTTGATGCGATATGTATGAGTTGCATGTTATAGTTTTATCGTTTTCAACAAATATGCATGATATCATTGTTCGATTCGATAACCGCAACGACTAATATGTTAATTAGTTAATCTGTTTTTATAATCTATGTGTTGCTGCAAAGATTTTACGAAATACATATGTCAATTGTTGACATGATGATCCATGGGTGTGCGATAGTAGATTGCGTTTGGCAGTGGAACAATGGTTGTTCCGATGCTGAAAACCTTCGGGATTGAAAATCCTAAAAACATGATTCTGTTGATAAGTGTTATCAAATCGTGAGGTTTTTCTATAGAAACGGAAGTACTATTTTTCAAAAAAAATCCCTCATACCCTGCAAGGGGCTTCGCCCCTTGACCCTTCATCAGCAGTACAGATTGTAGGCTCATATTAATATTTTTTAACAAAGGCGTAACAACGTGTATATATATATGATATGTTTGTTTTGCACAGTGTTTGACATGCAT